TCATCAGCACTGAGCTCTAACCAAATGAGCTAATGGGTCAGCCCTCACTTTGTATAGTTTCTCATTCCATGAACATATTTTCAAGTTGTAAAACATATTTTTATTTATATTAAGCATACTATTAAAATATTTTTAAAATGCTAACAGTATTTGAATCTGGGTGATATTTTTTTTCTTGTTACCTAGTTCTTGTTTCCCTCTCTGTCTACCTGGTTATCTTCAACTCTCAGTTAGTGATTGTAATAAAAATTATTTTTAGGAATAACTTGAATCCTAGAATCATGCTGTTATCTCCTAGTGATGAACTATATTTGCTTCTGGTAAGCATACATACACATATTATGTGTGTGTATAACATGTGTGTGTGTATATATATATATATACACACACACACACATTATTCTGAATGTGAGTTTACATTATTCCAATATATATAATATTCTAATTGTGGTAGTTGCTAACATTTACTGATTCTCTTCATTCAAAAGGCCATCATAGTATATAGAAACCTGTATCAGCATTTTATATAAAAAAGCATTAAATTATGAAGTTCTTAATGTTTTTTTACATAAGTAAAAAAAATTGATATTTATTATATTTCTAATTTAAAATGTATGAATCATATATGAGTATTATTAAATGTAAGATAAAAGAAAACATAAGAAATAAAAATACTAAGGACCTTACCTGCTGAGTAACTACTGCAGCTAAATTCCCTCCAGCACTGTCTCCAGAAATGCCAACTCTCCCAGGATCTACACCATAACCTTCAAGAAATTTGGGGTGTAAAAACCATTTTAATGCAGTGTATACATCTTCAAATTGAACTGGAAAATGATACTTTGGAGCTAGTCTGTAGCTGTAGGTAGAAAACGATGTTTTCTAAATTAGTCATTTTTACTCATGTACCAAAACAAGGCATGTACTACTACCAATCCAAAATCAAAGATAAAATAGTTTTACCAACATGATATTTAAATATTTTTCTTTTAATTGGAAGATATATTTTTCCTAATCATGAAATCTGGCTAGGAATTATTAAACGTTGTCATTTTTCTAAACAAAATTAAATGCTAAATGCTAAATGTGTTTCAGTCTTGAGAGAAAACTTCCTAGCTGCTATCTTTTCTAGCTAAAATTCTTCCAGAATGATTTCTTTTTTTTGGTAATTGCTACATTTTTTAAAGCAGTAAGTTATTATTAGTACTTGTATCTCCAGAATTACTTTTCAATCTTATCAAAATATTTCAACTTGACATGTGCCCAATATATGCCATATTAGTCCATAAATTCTGCATTATTTTAGTTTTATATAAGTACATTCTTGCAGGAAGTATACTCTATAGAAAATTCAAACCCTCTTTTTAATTTTTCCTAAAGTGTGCTCTGGAATATAATGTGAGATGTGTTCTGTCTGACTTCCATAGTTAATTTGGGAAAAGTTGCTTTCATTGACAGAATACTAATTCCAAGCACTGTAAACATGTTGTAGCATTTAATCCTTGGATCAATGCTAAATTTGAAAATTATCATTAGAAGTTAAAAATCTCTCAAAAGTTCTCACACCTCCAATTTGCAGAGCCAGTATTTTATTACAGTGCTCTGCCTCCAAAGCCTTCATCCCTAATATTCTGTTAATTAATGGGGAATAGAAATACAGGGATAGAAGTAATGTCTATGTGAGCCTGGAGGTCAATTTCACTTGAACAATTTTTTGGCTTTCTGGCCTTCTTTTCTTCTTGAATTATGTGTATGTCTTTTCTCTCTGATGCTAGACTGGATAACCTGTGACATCAGATTTCTGTTTATATTGTGTCATCAGTGACACAGATTGATTTTTGAAATAATAAAATATTCAGTATAGTTGAGTGAATAGCATGCAAGGTATCTGGCCTAAAATGAAACCAACACAGCCCTTACTTGGTTGATATGACAACTGCATCAAGTCTGTCCGCTGTCCATCTTGACAGAAGGTCATAAGAAAACAGAGCTGAAATTTAAGGAAAAAATATGGGAATATTAATAAGAATTAAAAAATCATACTGTTAAATATAAAGTTTACTATGATGACTTTGTATTTATTCCATTTACCTTAAAATACTGCAAAAAATAGAAAATCTAACTCTAGGTTCATGTTAATCAATGCACATACCCACAACTTAGTAGAATGTGAATTCTGTTCTCAGTGATCCTTTCGCTTGTTGATAATCAGCTGTCTTTTCCATTCACCAAATTTCCACATCAGCTATTCCAAACTAGCTTGGTTTAGCTGCTTATTATGTGACTGGCATATAGTTTGAGGGTAGGAATGCAAGCATTTAAAAGACATGTTCTCTGATTTTAAGGAGCTTGCATCTATGAGGATGGGGACAGAGACACAGGGCAACAACAGAAATTTTAAAAATCTGCCTTAATTAAGGTGCATATAGGAGAGCTCCTTTGTTAATCTGCCTGGAGGTTCTAAAAAGAATTTACGGAAGGATTTGAGTAGACTACAGACTGCAAGATTGTGTACATGTTTTCTAGGAGAAGTGTGTGTGTGTGTTTGCGTGTGTGTTTGGGGGGGTGGCACTCAAACAGGGACAATTTTAACAAAATAGCTTGAGGAGTAGAGTTTTGAGTAGGTGAGGCTCATGTGAAAGACAAACAGTCTCTGCCCAGTCCGATTACCTGGAGTGTTTCTCCTATATTTTCCTTTAGTAATTTTGTGGTTTCAGAGCTTATATTTAATTCTTTAATCCATTTTGAGTTGATTTTGGTATATGGCGAGAGGTACATGTTCAGTTTCGTTTCTCTACATATGAATGTCCAATTTTCCCAACACCATTTATTGAAGAGGCAGTCTTTTCCCCAATGTATGTTTTTACTGCCTTGGTCAAAGATCAGTTGGCTGTACATATGTGGGTTGATTCCTGGGTTTTCTATTCTGTTCCATTAATCTGAGCGCTATTTTTTTTTTTTTTTTTTTTTTGTCTTTTTCCGTGTCCGGCAACGGATCGCAACCCTCAGTGTCGACCCCGCACCAGACCGGGACCGGCAATGGGATCGCAATCCTCGGCGTCGCTCCCGCGCCTCACTCAGCCAGCGAGCAGGAACCGGTCTGTATGCGGGATCCAAACCCTCGGTGGGAGCGCCGCCACACTTCCCAAGCGGCACACTATCGCAGTGCGCCACCAGGCCGGCCCTGAGTGCTATTTTTTGACAGTACCACACTGAATATATATCCAAAGGAACGGAAATCATTATGTCAAAGGGATACCTGCAGTTCAAGTAAATACCTTGCAGCTCTATTTACAATAACCAAAATATTAGGAACCAACCTAAGTGTCCATTGATGGATGACTGGATAAAGAAAATGTGGAGATCCCGGAGGGAAGCACCCACAGCCAAAGCAGCCACCCAGGTGAGCAGAGACCTGTGTGGCATCGGGGACTCAGTCTAAAACCTAGGGTGGAGGGAAGTGCCCACAGGCTCAGCAGGCGCCAATGTGAGGCAAGACCCGAGTGGCACTGGGGGCTCAGTTTACGGCCATGGATTCTGGAATAGGAGCCAAGGTAGTGTAATTTAGCCACTGCCAAAACTAGTGTCACTGCAAGGACAGGTCACCACCACAGTAGCAGCCAGGGCCACTCTATAGGCAACCTGCTGCTTACTTGACTACATTGATATAAGAAGAGTCACCAGTAGAGCCTGCAAACAGAGGAATAAATCTTTATCCTCAAAGCCAACCTGAGTAACAGAAGAAGCAAGTCCTCTACCAGATGACCAAACATCAATGAAAAATACTAGAACTACAAACAAACAAGAAGATATGACAAAACTGAAGGAATATGGTAATGCTCAAATTTCAGACCCCATAGAACAGGGAACCATTGAAATGTCTGAAAAGGAATTCTGAGCAATGATCTCAAGAAAACTCAAAGAGATAAAAGAAGACTCAATTAGACAGTGCAATGAAACAAGAAAAAATATCCAGAATATGAAGGAGGAAATTTACAAAGAGATTAATACCTTAAAAAAGAGTGTAGCAGAACTCCTAGAAATGAGGATTCACTCAATGAAATAAAAAACACAGCAGATATCTTGAGCAGCAGGCTAGAGCAAGCAGAAGAAAGAATTTCAGATCTCAAAGATAGTCTTATGCAAATAACCCAGGCAGACAAAAAAAAAAAAAAAGGATAAAAGAATTAAAACTAATGAAGAAAATCTAAGAGAGATAGCAGACAACCTCAAGCACTCTAACATCTGAATTGTGGGTATTCCAGAGGGGAGGAGAAATGAAAACGTATTGAAAACTTATTCAAAGAAGTAACAACAGAAAATTTCCCAGGTGAAGGGAGAGATGCCAACTTTCAGATGCAGAAAGCTCAAAGGTCTCCAAACAGATTCAATCCAAAAGGATCCCCTCCAAGACACATTATAGTCAAATTTGCAAAGCTCAAAGACAAGGAGAGAATTCTAAAAGCAGCAAGAGAAAAGCGTCAAGTCACCTATAAGGGAACCCCCATCAGACTAACAGCAGACTTCTCAACTGAAACCCTACAGGCCAGAAGAAAGTGGAATAATATATTCAAAATACTAAAAGAAAAAATAGCCAGCCAAGAATTCTTAAACCAGGAAGGCTTTCCTTCAGAAATGAGGGAGAAATAGTGTATTTCTCAGACAAACAAAAATTGTTGGAGTCCATCACCACACAACTAGCCCTGCAAGAAATTCTCAAGGGAGTACTTCATCTGGAATCTGAATAATGACGATCACTCTCACAAACACACAAGAAAGAGCAAAACCCATCATTAAAACAAAATGCCAGTGAGAAAGAGAAAGAAGCTAAATCATGCCACCTCAAATTTCCAAATAACATTGAAGAAGAGAAATAAAAGGGGAAGTAATGATCAAAAGATATTTAAATCATCTAAACAAAAAACAATTAAATGACAGAAACTAAACAATACTGGTCAATAACTACCCTAAATGTGAATGGATTAAACTACCCATTCAAAAGACACACCCTGATTGATTGGATTAAAAACCTAGACCCAGGGCCGGCCCGGTGGTGCACTGGAGAGTGCGCCGCTTGGGAGCGGGGAGGCGCTCCCGCCGAGGGTTCGGATCCCATGTGGTGACCGGTTCCCGCTCACTGGCTGAGCGCGGCGTGGGCGCAACACTGAGGGTTGCGATCCCATTACCGGCCAGTAAAAAAGACAAAAAGGAAAAAAAAAAACAAAAACACCTAGACCCAAGTATATTCTGTCTTCAAGAGGCCTACCTTGCCTGTAGAGACACACATAGACTAAAAGTGAAAAGATAGATAAAGGTATACCATGCAAATGGAAACTAAAAATGAGCAGGAGTAGCTATTCTTATATCAGATAAAATAGACTTTAAACCAAGAAACATAAAGAGAGACAACGAAGGCCACTATATAATGATAAAGGGATCTATCCAGCTAGAAGACATAACGATCATAAACATGTATGCATCCAATACTGGGGTACCCAGAGATATAAAGCAAACACTTTTAGACCTAAAGAATGAAATAGGCCCTAATACCTTAATAGTGGGTGACATGAATACCCCTTTCTCAGTATGGGACAGACTTTTCAGGCAACAAAGAGACACAGGATTTAATCTACACCTTAGGCCAACTGGGCCTAGCAAATATATACAGAACATTTCACCCAACAACTAAAGAATATACTTTCTTCACATCAGCACATGGAACATTCTCCAGGATAGACCACACATTAGGTCACAAATCTAGTCTCAGCAAATTTTAAAAAATTGAAATCATTCCAAGTATCTTTTCAGACCACAGTGGGCTAAAACTAGAAAATAATAACAACCCAAACTCTGGAAACTACAAATACCTGGGAACTAAACAATAAGCTCCTGAATGACCTATGGGCACAAGAAGAAATTAAACAGGAAATCAAAAAATTTCTTGAAACTAATGAAAATAAAGACACATCATAACAAAACCTGTGGGATATTGGAAAAGCAGTACTAAGAGGGAAACATCACAATAAACACTTCCATCAGAAGAATGGAATGACTTCAATAAATGACCTAATGCTACACCTCAAAGAACTAGAAAAACAACATTCCAATCCTAAAGGTAGCAGATGGAAAGAAATAATTAAGATCAGAGCAGAACTAAATGAAATGGAGACTCCAAGAATGATAGAAAAAATAAATGAAACAAAAAGTTGGTTTTTCAAGAAGGTAAATAAAATAGGCAAACCATTAGCTAGGTTAACAAAAAAAAAAAAAAAAAAAAAAAAAAAAGAGAGAAGAAGAAGAAGAAGAGAGAAGAACCAAATAAAAAAAATCCGAAATGAAAATGGAGACATTACAACCAATACCACAGAAATATGAAGAATCATCAGAGATTATTTTGAACAACTGTATGAAAACCTGGATGATATGGGTAAGTTTCTGGACACAGACAAACTACCCAGACTGAACCAAGAAGAAATAGAAAACCTGAACAAGCCAATAACAAGCAATAAGATTGAAGCAGTAATCAGCAGTCTCCCAACAACAACAACAAAAAGCCCAGGTCCAGATGGCTTTACAGCTGAATTCTTTCAAACATTTAAAGAGGAACTAATACCAATTCTCCTCAAACTATTTCAAGAAATTGAAAGAGAAGCCATTCTCCCAAACTCACTTTATGAGGTCAACATAACTGATAACAAAACCATATAAAGACACAACAAAAAAGAAAATTACAGGCCAATGACCTTGATAAACATATATGAAAAAATCCTCAACAAAATATTAGCAATCTGAATACAGCAACACATCAAATAAATTATACATCATGATCAAGTGGGATTCATCCTGGGGATGCTAGGAAGGTTCAATATAATGAAATTCAGTAAACGTGATACATCACATCAGCAAACTCAAGGACAAAAACCATGTGATTATCTCAATAGATGTGGAAAAAGCATTTGACAAAATTCAACATCCCTTCATGATAATGATTCTCACCAAATTAGGTACAGAAGGAAAGTATCTCAACACAATAAAAGCCATCTATGACAAGCCCACTGACAGTGTCATTCGGAAAGGGGAAAACTGAAGGCTTTTCCCTTAAGAACAGGAACAAGACAAGGATGCCCACTCTCACCATTTCCATTTAACATAGTAGTAGATGTACTTGCCAGAGAAATCAGGCAAGAGAAAGGAATAAATGGCATCTAGAATGAAAAAGATGAAGTCAAACTGTTCTTATTTGCAGAAGAAAGGATACTATACATAGAAAAACCTAAAGACTATCAAAAAACTCCTAGAGCTGGTTAATAATTTCAGTATTCTTGCAGGAAACAAACAAAAAATGCACCCAAATTAGTTGTATTTATATTCTCCAATAATGAGCTAACAGAAGGAGAAATCAAGAAATAATCCCATTTACAACAGTCACAAAAAATAAAATACTTAGGAATCGATTTAACTAAGGAGCTGAAAGATCTCTACAGTGAGAACTACAAACCACTACTGAAAGAAATTAAAGAGGACACAAAGAGATGGAAACATATTCCATGCTCTTAGAGTAGAAGAATTAACATTGTGAAAATGCCTACACTACCCAAAGTGATCTAAAGATTCAATGCAATCCCTATCAAAATACCAATGACATTCTTCACAGAAGTGGAAAAAACAATCTTAAAATTCATATAGAACAACAAAAGACCCTGAATAGCCAAAGCAATCCTGAGCAAAATAATAATAATAATAATAATAATAATAATAATAATAATAATAATAATAATAATAATAATAATAATAATAATAATAATAATAATAATAATAATAATAATAATAATAATAATAATAATAATAATAATAATAATAATAATAATAATAATAATAATAATAATAATAATAATAATAATAATAATAATAATAATAATAATAATAATAATAATAATAATAATAATAATAATAATAATAATAATAATAATAATAATAATAATAATAATAATAATAATAATAATAATAATAATAATAATAATAATAATAATAATAATAATAATAATAATAATAATAATAATAATAATAATAATAATAATAATAATAATAATAATAATAATAATAATAATAATAATAATAATAATAATAATAATAATAATAATAATAATAATAATAATAATAATAATAATAATAATAATAATAATAATAAAATCTGGAGGCATAACACTACCTGACATTAAATTATACTGTAAAGCTATAGTAACCCAAACAGCATGGTATTGACATAAAAATAGACACTTGGACCAGTGGAACAGAATAGAGAACCCAGAAATCACCTCCCGCAGACACACAGCCATCTGATATTTGACAAAGGCAACAAAAAACTTCACTGGGGAAAAGACAACCTCTTCAATAAGTGGTGCTGGAGAAATTGGATATCCATACACAGAAAAATGAAACTAGACATGCATGTCTACCCATATAGTAAAATCACCTCGAAATGGATTAAAGGCTTAAGTGTAAGACCTGAAACTAGACATGCATGTCTACCTATATACTAAAATCACCTCGAAATGGATTAAAGGCTTAAGTGTAAGACCTGAAACTTTAAAATTACTAAGGGAAAATGTAGGTGAAACACTTTGGTAACTAGGTCTGGGCATAGACTTTATGAACATGAGCCCAAATGCACAGGTGACAAAAGAAAAAATAAATAAGTGGGACTATATCAAACTCAAAAGCTTCTGCACAGCAAAGGAAACAACGGAGTGAAACAACAACCTACAGAGTGGGAGAAAATTTTTGCTAACTATGCATCTGGCAAGGAATTAAGATCCATAATATACAAGGAACTCAAGCAATTACACAATAAAAAACCAAATAACCCAATTAAAAAATGGGCAAAGGAGCTGAATAGACATTTTCCAAAGGAAGACATACAAATTGCCATCAGGTACATGAAAAAATGCTCAACAGCACTAGTCATCAGGGAAATGCAAATTAAAACTACACTGAAATATCACCTCACCCCAGTTAGACTGGCTATAATCAAAAAGATGGTGAATAACAAATGCTGGCAAGAGTGTGGAGAGAAGGGAACACTCCTACACTGTTGGTTGGACTGTAAATTAGTACAACCACTATGGAAAACAGTATGGAGGTTTCTCAAACAACTACAGATAGATCTTCCATACGATCCAGCAATCCCACTCTAGGTATATACCCGAAGAAATGGAAATCATCATGTTGAAGGGATACCTGCACTCCCATACCTGCACTCCCATGTTCATCGCAGTTCTGTTTACAATAGCCAAGATGGAACCAACCTAAATGTCCATCAGTGGATGATTGGATAAGGACAATGTGGTCTATATACACCGTGGAATACTACTCTGCCATAAAAAAGAATGAAATCTCCCATTTGCAACAACATGGATGAGCCTGGAGAAACTTATGTTGAGTGAAATAAGCAAAGCACAGAGGGATAAATATGGTATGTCCTCACTCACAAGTGGGAGCTAAGAGAGAAAGAAGGAAGGAAAGAAAAATCACAGTGGTGTGTTGGACTTGCAGAGGAAGAGAACATACCTAGGGATACAAAGTGGAGTGGGGAAATGGGATGGAGAGGGGGATCAGGGAAAATTGGAGGGATATTTGGGTGGGGACACTGGTATAATCACAATTTGGGGTAGTGGGTATGCTGCCAGTATGGATCTGGCCTTCACATCTTGGGCACGAGTAGTGACAATCAGCTTTGTATTTCATGAATATTCATAACTAATAAAAAATATTTGCATTAAAAAAAGAAAATATGGGACATATATACAGTGTAATACTACTGAGCCATTAGAAAGAATGAAATTCTGCCATTTGCAGCAATGTGGATGAGTCTGGAGAAAATTATGTTAAGTGAAATAAATAAGCAAGTAATAATGAATATGCTAATAATAATAATAATAATAAACTACAATATTAAAAACAAAAATAAACAAAAGACAAACAGGTAAGAAACAGTTAGAAACATGACTTCGTCAGCAGCAGCTGATGACGCCTCTTATCCATAAGCGTCATCAGGCAGCGCTCCCTGGATTACTGTTTACACCCAGTTGCCAACAATGTCTCCACCGCAGGCTTCTGTTGCTTCCCTCTCACATCAAGACTCGTCCCTCATGTGTGGCAGTCCTTTGCCCTCCAATCTGACTCCCGTTCCCTACTACTGCTGCCCTGTCATCGTGCTCATTTCTTCAACATGTTGCTATTTACTCGTTCGTTTTTTTTATACAGTTCATGAATGTAGTTATGCCATTCCCACAGTGAAATATAAAAATACAGCACCCTCTACCATGTCTGCATTTCCTTTTTATCTGATTCCTTATTTTCCCTTCCAATAAAGGGAATCGTTCACGATTACAGCCACTGCTTCATTTCCTCTTCTCTTCTTCACTATTCAAATGCCGTAACTGATTTAGCATCCTACCATTCTATAATGTCTGCCCTCACACAATCAATAAAAATGTCCAGGTCCATGAGATATTTCCTTCTCTTAATATCTCAGTATCCTTTAGCACTTGGGACTACTAACTCCATCCTTTTCCTTGATGTTCTGTTTTCTCTTGGCTTCCCTTATATCTCTGACCATTCTTAGTCACCTAGATGATATTCTCTTCCTACAACATTTGAAAATAGCTTCATGGCAACACTGGCTAAGTCACTCAACCTATTACACTGGCAATCAGAACTTCTCTTAGATCCAGGCCTCTGGGGCCTCTTCCCTGAGCCCCACACTTAAAAGGACTGTCTGGCCTTCCTCTTGCTGCCTTCTTCACTAGGGGGCACACAGCCAGCAGAGCAAAGGTGCCCGCCCTTCCCTATCTAGCCCACGCTCCTAGTACCTTAGACCAGGAGCCTTGAACAGAGTCTTTCTGTTTTTAATCTACTGTCCTGTTCATTGCGGTATCCCACATGACAGAAAGATACTAAATGTCTTATTATTTAAACATGGAAACTGAGATATTTTTCTGGAGTGCATTTTGATCTTGGAAAGGGATAAAAATATTGTTAGAGAAAAAATAAAAAGGAAAAGACAACCCATTGTCCTATGAAGTCAAGCAGAGGACAATTTGAAGAAAGCAGACTATGCTTCAATACTTAATTTTAATAAATGGAAAGTCAAAGTTTTTCTACCTCTATCTGATGGGGACATTAGTAAAGCATATTTGGAAAAAAGAAATATTTATTTGAGTCTTGAAGGAAAAATAAAACATGTCCAGCAGTATGTTGGCAAGTTCAAAATATAAAGAGACTGTTCTATTTGCCAGAGAGTTTGGTTTTCATCCCATAAAATTTATAAGTTCTATTGGTGAGTGGTAGGGTCAGAAATTCTTAGAATTTATGTAACAAAATAATTTAAATTCCAACTGTTAGTAAACTTTTATTTAGACTGAAATTTCAAAAACTCTATTAATTCATGTTGTTTTAATGAAATGAATTTCAAAAGGAGGAGCATGATATTTAATTTGTACATCATGATGTGTGAGTAGTCAAAGTAATGTCAAAATTGTATTATAGAAAGTGAATTTTCCAGCATGTCACACTTACCGTTGCTATTCAAACACCAGCCACCACCATGGATGTAGAATAAGCCCCTTCGTAATGATTCTGGCTTCCTTTTGGGCACATATATCCGGACAGGAATGTTGTTAAATGTTGTATCTCTCACAGTTACATTTTCATCTGATGTTGGTGGAACCTCTAGAAAACTTGAAAGGAATACAATAGATTCCATAAAGTGATTTATTCCCAAGATCTCAGCAAACAGAGCCTAAAATAAAACACATATACATACATATATTCTAAGTGTCAAAACAGTTTCTGAACAAAGAAGTGCACATTAATATTTGATATGACTCAAATGGCTTTGAAGTACATTCACTTAGACAAATTGGCAATGATACCACCAGAAGATATAGAAGTTCAGATGCTGTAATCCTGAGAATCACCCTAAGTGAAACCAGTCCACATTTACACATTAGTCAATAGGAATACCATTATGGGTCTACGATTCTGTGCTAAATCCTGTGAACACCAAATGAGCTAGGCAAATCCTCAGCCTCAAAAAACTCAGAGCCAAATGAGAGACATAAATTACAAAATAATATCTTAACCATATATATGGACAAAGTTCTTTGGGATAATTGTAAAGACATAGGGAAAGAAAAAGAGTTTTTAACTTGGAGTTGAACTGAAACTTGAAGTGAAAGTAGAGTTTGGACAATCAACTGAGCATAAGGCCTTCTAGATGGATTAAATGAGCTTATTCTGGGGAAAAACAATAATGTGATAGAGAAGTGAAGGTTCTTTGCTATTCCTATACTTCCACGGTTCAAGAGGGTAAGTGGGAGGAAAGAATTCTTAAGAAGAATTAAAAATATACATACATTAAGAAAAAAGCAAAAACCATTGGAAACCATAAAAGAAACATTGATAAATTTAGCTCAGCTAAGATTAAGTATTTATTTTAGTCAAACTATCCCATAAAGTGATCGAAAAGATAAGCCACAATATGGATAATGATACTTGCAATACATATAAGTAAAAAATATTAGTACAGTCAGCCCTTCATATCCACTGGTTCCACATACCTCCCTCCTGAATCAACCTAAGTGTTTATCAGCTGGTGAATGGCTAAAAAATATGTGGTATATTTACATAATGGAACACCATTTAGCCATGAAAAAGAAGGAAATCCTGTCATTTGCAAAAACATGAATGAATCAGGAGGACATTACATTAAGTAAAATAAGCCAGGCATAACAAGTCAAATACCACACAATCATATTCATATGTGGAATCTAAAAACGTTGATCATATAGTAATAAAATGTTTTTAAAGGAAAAGGCTTTATGCGTTAATATCTTTAACTGCATTTCCCCTCTGCCTTTTGAACAAAGCTCCCAGAATTTTTATGGAACACTGGGCTCCACAAATTACATAGCCAAGTCTGGTACACACATTGGATAATATGGGTGCACAGGTCAGGGGCTATGCTATTATGTTTTCCTAACGGAACAAATATGCTAAGTCCGTATCACGAACATCAGAGCACCTATAAAACTATACATCAGAGCTGGCAGTTACAAAGGTGAAGACATCTGATATTTCCTTAGCTTTGCACAAGCATTCTCAGACTTGGCACACAATAGCAGCAGTGGAACTCAGTTTGAAGGATGAATTGTGGAAAAGAAAGTTTCTGTTTTCTGAGCTTCTTGGGCAGAGTCTAAGAGCTCTCTGACGAATAGCTTTAGTATCCTGTCATGAAGTTAGAAGACAAATTGGTCCCTTCCCAGCCCACAGCTCTCTTGTGCTTTCTTTCACATACTGGTGGCCCAGTGAATGAGAAGTGCTGCAGTTTTATAGTAATAACTCGTCTAAATATGAATTGCTGTAGTGACGTGCTGCATTGACTTACAGCAAGTTTAGTCCTGATTTAGCAGGTTTAGGGTTTTTCTGCAGCAATAAAAGTAGGTTTATTTGGTGGCCTCTTTGTTCCTCAATATCCAGTAACAATGCATTTCATAAATTATGCTTTTATAGATCAGGCTATTTTACCCAGATGGGACCCTACAAATTTTTTGCCTTTCTATTTAATTAGAACTATTCAGTGTCCATAATATCACTTATACCCAAAACCTGATGTTCTAAGTTTGTGAGTAGATTCCAGGATTCTTAGAAGGAAAGGAGGATATCTACTGAGGAACTCAGATGAATTTAGCAAGAATTGTATAAATCCAAACTCAAGCAATTTTTCAAGCTCTTGAGAAAAGTGTTGATTTGCTACTGGAAACATAATTAATCATCAGTGCCTATTAGCATCACACAAAATCTAGATTTTGGTTACTATTCAAAATCTAAAAGAATTTCTCTGAACGATTTTGGGAACTTTATTACAGCTGAAGGTTTGAAAGTCATTGACCTTCCCTGACTGGGTGAATGATCTTTTCAACGCAAGTGAAACTTTTCAAATATGAGAAAAAAAATCCAGAATTCTGGTTCATTGTAGGCTTCTGTGATAGTTTCTAGTGTTCTTGATTATGGTCCTGCAAATTTCCATTTTCGCTCTCATTTTTGGCCACCTGTTGTTCATTTAAGGGAAATTGGCACCTTTATACTGAAAGCACCACCACTCCACCCTTTTCTTAGAGCATTGTGCTACTCACCATGCCTGTCTTTATCCAACATATTCTCATAGGTAATGTAGGAAGCATTTTCTTGCAGCTCCTTCTTAGATGCTTGAGTTGCATAAACATTTTATACTGATCTTAAATCACTAGGGACTTTCCAAGAAATGGTACTAAGATGGCAAGTTGAATAAAAGTAGAATTCAATTTATACTTCCCACTAATATTTATTAACATAAATTCCAATTGGAAAAAAGATTTAAATGTAAAAAGGAAGCCATGAAGGTACTGAGACCATAGGTGAATTCTCCCATATTCTTAGAATGGAGAAGAGCTTTTTAAACTATAAATCAAGTTCTAGAAGACATAACTTAAAAGATTGAGAAATTAGGATATTTAAAATAAAGAATAGTACAAAAAAACTTCATCATGGCCAATTTATTGTAATAAATACCAAAGACAAACTGGGAACAAAATTTGCATTTCTCTAGTGTAGAAAGAAATTAAAAAGAATAAAACCCAATTGAAAATTGGACAAAGGAGTTTTCAGATAGTTCAAACAAAAGCAAATGCTAATGGTTCCTAAATATAAAGGATTCTAAAACTTACTCTTAATAAGAGATAAATAAAATAAAGTTAAATTAAGATAAAATTTCTCATTTTTATTGGGAAAAAATCCAGAAAAATCATAACACACTTTGTTGAGAAGCTGACAGGACACAGATATTCTCATGCTTTGCTTTTAAGAATGGAAATTGTTAAAGGGCAATTTTGCAAAAATTAGCAAAATTACGATTGGTTCAACAATCCCAATTTATGTATTTATTATAAACAAAACCCAACTTCCAAAGGAAGTATGTCATTCATGTAATATGATTTTACTGTTTGTAATAACAAAACACTAGAAAGAACAAAAGTTTACACCTAAATAGGCTCGATTAAATGAACTATGTTTTGTACACACATTGACTCCTATGCGGCTACGTAAAGGAATGAGAAGGATTTATACATGATGTGGAAACATTCATAGGATATACAGTTAAATGAAAAATGTAAAGACCACAAGAGCATGCGTGTGATCCTGTCCATTACGTAAGAAATAATGGGGAATAAGAATATGTATTTTAATTACTTGTACTTATTATTGGTATTACTTGTATAAAGAATCCCCAGGATGGATCACAACACACTATAAAACTGGTGATCTAACAGGACTGGGTTGGAAATAGGATGAATAAAGTTAGGAATGGGATCAAGACGTTATAATGTTTTGATTTTTGAAGTATATAAATGTATTACTATTTAAAAAATAAAATTTGCTTAAGATTATTTTGAAAACATAGAGGGGGTTACATAAGAAGGTAGCGAGATCCCTATTCCTGGAAATGTGAATATTAAGAACAAAGATCTCTTCCTGTAAGAAATCTAGCAATTGCTAATCTCTACCACCAACCTATCCCTGCTGGTTACAGTTAAAAGTTATCATACAGAGAGAGAGAGACAGAGACAAAGAGACAGACAGAGACAGAGTGACAGAATGACGAAAGAGACAAGGAGACAGAAAGACAGAGACAGATGGGATATATGGGATATTAATTTTGTAGTGAGAATTAGAGATTAGCTGGGTCAGGTTGCCAATGAATTAGTTATAATAGAGAGGCATTCTTCCATTGTTACCAACCACACCTCTCATGGTTTTTACTGGGCGCCTTCCAGTCAGCTAATCTACAGCATATTTTCATAAGAACTTACATGTCGGCCCAGCCCGGTGGCGCACTGCTACAGTGCGCCGCTTGGGAGCACGGGGGCGCTCCCGCCGAGGGTTCGGATCCCACATACAGACCAGCCGCTCACTGGCTGAGCGAGGTGCGGGCACAACACCGAGGGTTGCGATCCTGTTGCCGGTCCCAGTCCGGTACAGGCGCGACACTGAGGGTTGCGATCCGTTGCCGGTCACGAAAAAAGACAAAAGGGGAAAAAAAAAAAAAAAAAGAACTTACATGTCTGTAGTATATACCTGAAAGCCAATATTAATGCTTAAATGTCATAGTTGACTACAGAGGAGCTCACACAAATAACTTCTGAGTTTTGTATAAAAATTTAAAATCACAGGTAAGTAAAAGACTTTTGAAAAAAATGTCACATAATTTTTATGACTTTACAGCTACTGGAATGGATCATTTTAGAAATACAACCTGAATATCTCCTTGTGTCTCATCTTGTTAGTTGTGTGTTTTAGGACCATTCAGAGATATAATAAAGAATCCAGCAAAATTTGACAATAGGACACTGAAGACATACAAAACTTATAAAATAAAAACAGAGTCATGGAAAACTTACCTCTTGGGATCAATAAAATTTTTCACTTACCAGATATGATGATGTTTTCATAAGAGCATTGAACAGCATTATTTTCCATGGTTCCTCAATATTATCTGGGAGGGGTGTATAAATATAATATGCTATGAGGACTCCCAGTATCAGAAAGTAAAAATAAATTTTCCCCATGTTGTGCCTCTTCTGTTTCTTTGGCAAGACAGCATTACAGTTTATTGCAATGCCTGAAATTACTGACCTTGCGCAAGCCACACCAGAACTATTATCTAACTTCTCTGCCCAGAATCTCCTTATTTGCAAAACAGGTTGTCATGTTGTAAGTATCAAGTGTTGCTGACAAGAAACAAGGTCCAGCAAGTACTGTATACATCAGAACTGCCAGCATTATTTACCTTCAGTCACTGAGAATGATTTGTGGGCCACCAGCTTGAAGAAGAGCATGTTAACTCTCAGAGATTCTGAAAACTATAGTAGAAGCACTTCCTCCCTAGGGGAGAGGAGTGCAAAGCGATTCACAAAATATATCTTTATCGTTATTATATCTTTAACAAAAGCCAAATAATCATGTGCAATTGAATATCTTAAGAGGCGTATGCTGATTTTAGTGGTTTGCAGTGAGTAATGGAAAACTTTGTTGCAAAGGTAACTTGGAGTCATGTCTTAGAAAGATTGATTGTTTGGTAGACTGGAGAAAGACAAAGGAACCTGTAAAATAATAACCACTGAAGTAGACTTCATACGTACATTTTTAAAGTGAATTTCTCAGCTTAACATATGACTTTTCCTCTTTCAATTTCTGTCTTGGTTAATATATAATCTCAATTGATGTGCTGTTGAATAACTGCACCTAATAAGAAATGAAGGAGTCCAAGGTGAGTCCTTAAGCTTATTCTGCTGACTTTAATGTAAAATTAATTCTTTTCTCCACTGTTCTACTTTCAAGAAAAATGAGACAAAGAATTTGGATAATCACTTTTTTGTGTGTTGTCAACAGAATTCCTGCATGAAGGGTGAATGGCATAAAAGTAAAAATTTCAACTTACAGCAGCATTTGTCCAGAAGATAATCAAAACTTAATGCTGTGTTTCTTCTAATACTAATGCTCTTAAAGGACCATGATCTTTAAGTAACCCATTAACCCTGACCTGACCCTAACTAAAACTTTCTTCTTGACTAATGATTAATGTAGCTTGCATAAGCCAATTGTGTATAGAAATTTGGACCCATCTGTACTATGTGGAGTCAGCTAGTTTTCAGTAATAAAAGTAATGAGAAATTGTGAGCTATAATCATAATCTTATTCAAAAGTAATTCTTTCTCAGATAAAAATAGATACATGAAAATTATACTTCGTTTTTAAGATTATTTTCCCCATATGCAATATTCTCAATTTCAAATTCTGCTCCTTCTCATGGTGTAGAAGGTTTTTGTTGTTGTTGATGCTTTTTTGTTCCCTTCTCCCAGCTGCAAGATTTTTCACCAGTGCACAAAGGGCAATTATTTTGGTGCCTTTTTCTCTTATATATTAGGTTTTATTTCACAGGAGAGCTAGAGGAAAAGGGTCCAAATGGACTTCTGTCACCCTTTCTGTCTTCTATAGCAGCTGCCATTTCCTTCCCAGGCTTACTCCACAAGAGAAACTTCCTCATGAATCTCCGTGTGTGTGTGTGTGTGTGTGTGTGTGTGTGTGTGTGTGTGTGTGTGTGTGTGTATATATCTATATATCTAGCTAGATAGCTAGCTAGCTACATGTACACTATAGAGATAGGTAGATGATGTCAGACATAAATTTCTCTTCAAAATATTACAAAATATTGTAGTTTTGAGCAGGTGTCTGCTTGACGACTTTGTCTAAACTGGGTTCCCTCCTGAATACTGTCTAACCAGTCTCTATATTTTGTTTACAGAACCCCAAGGAGGAAGAATAAATTCAAAAACAACATGAAGAAAGAATGCTAGAATCAGCAGACATCAGCTGGGGTTCCAGCAGAGACAATCTTGCATTCATTACTTTGAGGTTAGTCCAATTCGTTCTGAGAGATATCAAGATACAGAGAGCTAAATAAGCCCTCTTCTGTTCAATCATAGCACGTGTAGTAAAGTTATTTATTGTTTAAAAAAATACACTATAAGAAGTCTATATTATGTTTACCATTTTAAGGGTGAGTATTTGACTTCCATAATTACTAGCTGTATGATCAAAAGGAAGTTTCTTAGACTGTTCTTGATGCAATCATTTCATTTATAGTAAAGGCACGTTAATTCATATCAAATAGGATTGTGGTTTGGATTAAACTAGTAATGACTGTAAAGAAGTAAGCATACATCTTAGCATCTAGGAGGACCTCAATAAATGGTAATGTAATAGTTACCATTGTTTTCACTGTGTATGATATTATTACCATTACAATGAGAAAGGGATATAGTCAAAATTCATACTGAGAGGGAACTAACTTAATACTCCCCAATTCTAAAAAAATTTATGCCAGGATGTTGCCTAAACTGCTAAGCTAACATCTGTAGAAGTGTAGCAATTTAACGCATGAACTCCAAGAACTGCTCCTGCAAATTGGGTGGTAGACTAGGAAAGACCAAGACTGTACAGTGCAGAAAGTGTAGTGTATAAAGGCATAATGACCAATGGAAGCCAAAACCCTTCCTTTCCTTGACTGCTAATAGATTTATAATCTGTTAAAAATAGAGAAAAAACTTTGCATAAATCAGCCATTCTAAGTGGAATTCTATCAATTAAAGGAGTGCAGCTTTCACACATAAGAAAAAGTTGTTTATTTTATTTTTATTATTTTTACTGTCCACTTTGATCATATTGACCCTTTTGGATAATACATACCGTGTCGGATTCAAACAAGTCAGGCTTCTAAGAGTGAGCTGATGGGAAAAGTCTTCTTCCTTATCTGTAAGCAAACACTGAGTGTAGAGGAGCATGGTGCACAGAGCAAGTATGTTAGGAAAGAAAGCACTCGTGAGAAAAAGGACATTTCCCGTTACGTGGATCTGTACTAGAGAACAAAAGAGAAAATGAAAATAATGGTACAACAGAGCACCGTATGCAACAACAATGTAAAAATACTGACGTAAGAGCTCACTCAACCGAACTCTTGACTTCTTTTCAGATATTCGGTTTCATTTATATTTAAACAAACTTTCACCCAGGCTGGAGATGTGTATGACTTCCAGTCTTATAGCTGTGAATAAGTTTCCAAAATGTTCGTGGAAATGTTTTTAGAATTTAAATAATAACTAAAGTCTACCATCTTATTTTCTTTGACCCAATTAAGTATTAAGATTTAAATATGTTTCCAATAGCAAATTAAGGCTTTCCTGAAGTGCTTAGAAGATGGTTGTGATTTCGGAGTATGGGATAGTTGCCAAATTCACCCCAGCTTTTCAACTAAATTACCATCTTTCTTTCCAAAGAATCAGAAATCTGCTCATGAACATGAACTATCATTGTGGATGTTGCAAATGATCTCATAAGAGAGAGAAGACCATTATGAAAGTATGACCTTTCCTCCCATGAGTCTCCTCACCCCTCCTAAGAAAAATAGCTGGACTCCCAGCAATCTGTTTATCAAGTGGGTTCTCATCAGTTCTTGAAGGACCAAAGGAGATTTAGCTAAAGCAATCATTATTGCTGTAGAAAGTCTCAAGGCTAACACTGACATAAATCATACTGCATGCACATACAGCTATTCAAAATAAGCAATTACTAATAGTGCAAAACAGCACCTCACCCTCGAAGGGCCACTGGTTGTGTTATGAGAAGCAGGAAAGAAAAATGAACTAAGAAATGTTCACATTGGCTGTTTCTCTTATGGATTGGGCTTCAAGGCTGCAGGTCAGGGAGCACAAAAAAAATTTGGGGGACCATCTCTCTCACTGTCAGGATTTTTAGCTATGTCATGCTGCTACCTCTGGGTGCCAAGACTTCACCTTTCTTTCTAATTCCCTCAGTATGGCAAACTTTGTGGCTTAAGAAGCATTCTATGTGCAATAGGTTTTAGGATAAGAGTCAGCATCTATGCCCCACTCAAGAGAGCATTAAAACAGGCTGAACCTTAACCCATGCACCCACACACTCACAGATATATTTCCACCAAAGTACAAAGTAGATAGCACAGTTTTGTACCCATGAGTGCACCACATTTCCTGTCTCCCCCACTGCCCCTTTTCTCTGGTAACCATTGTTCTACTCACTATCTCTATGGGAACCACTTTTTTTCTTTCCGATTCCACATATCAGTGATATTATGTGGTATTTGCCCTTTGTGCCTGACTTTCTTCACTTGACATGTGGGTTTCCAGTTCCATCCATGTTTCTGCAAATGATAAGATATGGTTTTTCTTAATAGCTGCGTAGTATCCCATTGTGTACATATACCATCTCTTGATTCCATCTCTTGGCTATTGTGAATAGTGCTTCAACGAACATGGGACTGGAGGAGTCCTTTTCATGTATCGATTCAATTTCCTTTGGATATATAGCCTGAAATGAGATAGTTGGGTGGTAGAGTAGTTCTATTTTTAGTTCTCTGAGGAATCTCCATACTGTTTTCCACAGTGGCTGTACCAATTTACATTCCCATCAGAAATGTAGGAGGTTCCTTTTTCTTTGCATCCTTGCCAGCATTTGTTATTTTTTGTCTTGATTATACCAATTCTATCCGGAGTGAGATGATATCTCATTGTGGTTTTAACTTGTATTTCCGCCAGCATTTGTTATTTTTTGTCTTGTTGATTATACCAATTCTATCCGGAGTGAGATGATATCTCATTGTGGTTTTAACTTGTATTTCCCTGATGATTAGTGATGTTGAGCATTTTTTCATGTTCCTGTTGGCCATTTGTACGTCTTAATTTGAGAAATGTCTGTTTAGGTCCTTTGCCCTTTTTTGTAATTCGGTTATTTGGGGTTTTTTGCTGTTGAGTCATGTAAGTTCCTTCTTAAATCTTCTGAATATTAGCTCCTTGTATGATGTGTAGCTGCAAACACTTTCTCCCATTCTATGGGTTTTCTCTTCACTTTTTTGACAGTGTCCCTTGCTCTGCAGAAGCTTTTTAGTTTGATGTAGTCCCATTTATGTATTTTTACTTTAGTTGCCTGTGCTTGTAGTCTTGCTTAAAAAAGCACTGCACACTCCCATTATGTG